CATAAGTTCAAGTAGCCATACCACATTAGCACAGAGACGCAACTGTCAAATCAAATCCCATAGTGATAAAGATAGTATAGGTATTAATGGTAATGAAGAAAACTAGGGTTTGAAGATATTATTCAAGAAGTATAATTCAGTGAGATAAGGTTAGAAAGACAAAGGCATAGGTGCTGACGATTCCAGAAGATTAGGATTTGACAGAGCACAACGAATGGATGCACTTGCGCCATTGCAAACGATTCTGAGCCATGTCGTTCAAAGTCTCTAACCATTGGTGACTTTCGTCTCGCGGACCCCAACCAGGTAGACTACATCTACCAACATCACTCAGTCCACTTGTCAGTGACTTCATGGATTTCTGTCATGTTTTGGTCTGAGTCTACAGATTTACAAATTTTCGATTTCTGACTACAGGTGAAATTGAAGAATCAAATCCAACAAAAAAATACTAGCCTAGCCAACACGATGATGGACTACTTCAGTAAAAGTATCTAATTAATTATACACAATTTACTGCCATTGTAGTTGTCGTATGGCAAACAACTATTCAGTGTAAACAACAGATACGTGTATTTTTTTTAATTAGGGGCTTTTAATATTGAGCTCGTGGAATGAGTTGAATACCGGTGGGTTGATGAAAATTACAGACTGGCAGCATGACATCTATAAATTTAAATAGTAAGAGTTCAAGGTACGTATTCAACAATCGAAACAATAGAACTATTAGTTTTCCACAGTTTAAAGTACAATGATTTGTTAAATCCAAAATTTTTACACACACACACACACACAACTAATAGATGGAAGTAGGTAATATTCATTACACAAAATATCCCTTATGAAAAAGAATTATGAAACACACAAAAACGCACCAACAGCTTATATAATAATCGGAATAACAACATTTACATAATAATCGGAAATGCAATAATAATAATAATAATAATGACAAAATTAGAAAATAACTAGTAGTTTATATAGTAAAAAAAAGAAAGCTAAATTTTCAATGTTTTCACAAACTGACTAACTAATTGACATATTAGTTTCATGATTATCTGCTAACGGTGCTGCCACATGATGACTAGATTTAGAATTTACTGTATCTACAACTACTTGATGTGCTTGTTTTTTGCAATCAGATAAATATTTCGCTGTAGGAATTGCAGCACTTCCTAATTGTATCGTATCAGGTTGGACGGTTGGACATAACTTACTAGTATTATTTTCATTATTATTAGAATTATGATATACTTCACCTCCATCAGCTAAAAATATAGCAGCAACTTCACGCGGTAATTGATCTAATGGTAAACCAATATACTCTTCACCAGTTGCCGGTACAAGAGCTTTGTCTAAGTCAGAAAAATAAGGATGTAAAAGTGCATCCCTTGCAGTAATACGCCGTGAAGGTTCATAGATTAGCATAGCCTGGGTAAAGGAAACAATAACAGTAGTAAAAATGAGTTACATGAAAATATACTCCGTAAAGTATAAAAGCACAGCGAAAAATATGCATATAGTATGTTTACAGGCTTAAGCTTAAATCAAGTGATTAAACTACAAAGGCGATAGTGATCTACTGTAGAACAACTAATTAGTAAGGATTAAATAACTTTTGTCTTCCAATATTTAATTGCTGAATGTGTACACATTCGTCTGCCGGCTTCAGAATAACATTCGGTGTGCAGCCTTGCGATACTACCTTATTGCACAAACAACAGTGTAAGTAAAGCTCAGTTATAATCTGCGATAACTTCGTAAAATATAAGGCCAGAGCTCGAGTTTATATTACGCTTGTTCAGAAACATTTTCATTTCACCGATCCTTGTTTAGTTGAATTCAGAAAATATAGCATTATTTCAGAGAAATAATGAATTGATTTCTGTGTACGTAATTAAAATATGACAGTCAATCTTCTAAGATATTAGAAACTATAATACATTATTTCAAGAAATTTACCTGAAGCAAATCAAGACCAGAAGTGTCGAAGGCTTTAGCTATATTATCTTGAATAGACAACTTTGAGTTGCGCCAAACAGGGAAACTTTTCTTTTGATATTCTGGTAAACTTGAAACTCCTGGCCAAACTTCTTCAGATGGAGTACCAAGGAGCCGGAAGATGCGAAAAAGTTGGTCTATTTCCGAATCTCCTCGAAACAAAGCCTCTTTGGTTGCGACTTCCGAAAAGATACAGCCCATTGACCAAATATCTATGGCACAAGAATACCTTTGAGCCCCAAGCAAGATTTCTGGTGCGCGATACCACAAGGTAACAACCTGTTAAGACAAGTGTCGTGATAACAAAAAAAGGTTCACTAAAATATAGCAGACGTTCTTCATGTCATTTCACGACGCCGAATTGATACCCCTAAGAATCTTGGATAACCAATAACTAGATGGACAAAGAGAGACAAATACAACGCAGAACTTCGTACATAAGTACATCAGTTCAGGTTGCCATACCACATCAGCACAGAGACGCAATTGTCAGTTCAAATCCAAGAGTGATAGCGATATTAAAAGTATTAGCAGCAATGGAGAAGATTAGGGAGCGAAGATATGATTCGAAAAGTATAATTCGGTGCGATAAATTTATAAGGAGAAAGATAGAGATTATGAGGAATTCAGAAGGTTAGAATTTCATAGAACACAAAGAGTGGATGTACCTGCGCCATTGCAAACGATTCTGAGCCATGTCGTTCAAGGTCTCTAACCATTGGTGACTTTCGTCTCGCGGACCCCAACCAGGTAGTCGACACCTACCGACATGGCTCAGTCCACTTGTCAGTGCTTTTAAATACCTTCGGAAGGTAATTATGGAACCACGATATTCTTTTCTACTTAACGTTTGTATTGATCCAAGAAAAGGTCAAAACATTTTTGAATTTCCCGTGTAAATAAACAGATGGTATAGAGAGGAAAACAAATGTTAAATTTAGCTGTTATCCGAACTCTATACATCACATAAACCTGTTTTAAGGGCTCTCAGTAGTTTGTTTCAATAGGTGTTGAACTAATACTTTTATCGTAACTTTTGTGCAGTCTTGCGGTCGCGAGCATTAGTTAGAACACTCGTAACTGATATGTGAATTAAAGACTGTCATTCGATGAAGCGATTATTAGATTTGTCAGGAAATGGTCTAGTGAATCTGAGCCTTGATACTTAAGAGGTATATCTTTACGTTTATCAGAGAGAATCTACGCTAAGACCGGTCTGATGACAAGTACAACTCAGTGTTCATGCTTTGGTTTATTTTATTCACTCTTCACACAGCCTTTTAACCAGCGTACCCGTGTTATCAGAATTTATGATGACTAAATATGAGGAACCAATGTAATCATAAAACAAGATAAAAATCACCTTCTTACATTAGAATAGAACCTTGGTTTGCATATAAGTTAGGCACTTGTCACTGATACAAGTTAAATTAAAATATGCTTTTACTAATCAGTACCTCGTGAGTTAATACACGAACAGGAATCCCAAAAGCGCGAGCCAAACCAAAATCTGCAAGTTTGACAATTTTTCTTCCGACATCAACCAGGATATTCTGGGGCTTTAGGTCTCTGTGAATAACTCGCCTGCCATGACAAAACAGTAAACCTTGGAGCATTTGATACATAAAACTCTAAAAAGTCAGATGCCACAGCTTTTTACCTTGACAATACCAGGCTCGAGTAAGTTTTTTCTCCCACTGTCATCCAAGTAACGTTTTAAATCCAGGTTTAGGTACTCAAAAACTAAGTACAATCGTCCGTTTTCCATGATAACCTGTTCCAGACTTAAAATCATAAATGGATATCCGTAAATATTTACTTCACGATGTTTGGATGTTGTAATTCCTTTAGAAGTGATATTTCACGAATAGCCGTCGAAGGAACTCCCTCTTCATCATTTTCGAGACGTATCTTTTTAAGTGCGGCAAATTTCCCGTTGACTTTATTTTTACATTTATACACAACTCCATATGTGCCTATACATAGCGGTTACGAGAAAACTAGTAATACCTTCCCCAATTTTCTCTAGTCTCATAAAGTCTGACAAGGCGTAAGTACCACGGGTTGACATTGTTATCGATAGACGAGATAACCTTTAGGGAAAGTTTGTTGAGCAAAATTCTGAAATAATTCAAAAGTCCGAGAAATCACAACCAGTCTCAGAGGCCATGCAACAAAACAATGAAGGTCACCATGAGGGCTTTCAGAAATATATAATTAGGTCACGGTATTGTTAACCACTACTTATTATAAATAAACATGTTGAAAAGATAGGTGAAACTCAATACTTGATATCTTGGTGACCAGAGTGCGTCTTCACTTCGAGCTGTGATGAAATTTTCTCATAACCATATGATTACTTTATAGCACGATTTTGTGTTTGCTCCAAAGAATTCGAATTTCCTTATTGGAAAGAAAGTGTAAAATTTTGTGCGTTTTGAGATATGGACGAATGTTGGCACTCAGTAGAATTAGAAACTTACTAGATGCTAAAATGATTGATCCCTTAAGGATAACGAGAGGGATAGTATAGGCTTTTGCTGTGTGTACCCGGTGACTATTATCAGTGAGCAGAAATTACGTCAGCGATGATCCTAGATCTCGCTTCATTGAGGCCCCAAAGGGGTATAAGCAGCAGACTTGCTGGCTCATTGTCGATCGAAATAACATCCTCTGATATTTTGGGATATTGTTAGGCCGTTGCCTTGTGCTCATTCATTCAGAAGTACTGTGCTTTTTGCAGCCCCTTCGAATCCGATAATTATCCACATTTTGATATCGTCTGTGTGGATAAGATGTGAAGGATAGTCTATCAGGACCTGCAGCTCGCCCTTGCTTCAGATTTCCTAACGCTTTTTCAACTTCATTAAGACTAGGCGGACTTATGTCGATTTGCCATTCAGGATGACTGGAGATCGTGGGTAACCAAAGAGTGGCTCGAGGCCATTCGAACTGATCCCTAAAGTGTTCTGCCCATCGATCCAGTCTCCTGGATTGAGAATAAATAGTGGTCCCATCCTTTTCCGAGATAGTCTCACTTACACTAGGATTCCTAATACCAATGTCCTTGATAAGTCGGAAAAGTTGTCTACTGTTGCATATCGCCGGTGCCTTTTCCATCGCTTTTGCTTTCGCCACCCACCACTGTTCGCGATCATTGCGCAGGCTTTTTATAAGTCTGCGCCTAAGCTGACTACGCTCTTCATCATGTTCAGAGTTAGGTGGGATGCGTTTTCGAGCATCCATCAGTTCGGTAGATTCTACAGAGATCCATGGCTTCATCCTAGCCCTGAAGTTTACCTTAATAGAAGATATCACTGCTGTTGATATCATACCAACCTGCTTCTGGATGGGAATCGCTTACATGGCTGCTTAACTCTCTTTCTAGTTGCTCCTGAAATATCTTCCTAGTTTGATTATCATTAAGTAAAACCCCAAGAGGCTTCCTTACAGTGTCTCTCCTAAGCACAGCAAGCCTCAAACAGATACGAGCTCGCACTAGGGCATGATCTGAATCTAAACATGTGCCCCAGAACGAGCGACAGTCCTCTATTGAACCCCTCCATCGGTGGCTGGTGGCGATGTGATCTAGTTGAGTCCAACGTTGAGACGACTTCGGGTGTCGCCAGGTCAATAGATGCTTTTCCTTATGTCTAAAGCTAGTGTTCGCTAAGAATAGGCGGTTATCTGAGCATAGTTGCAACAGACGGTCCCCATTGTCTGTTCTACTAGCCGCGACACCATAACATCCACCCAGGTGTCTTTCATTTTCACTCAGTCTACCTAGTTGAGCATTGAAGTCACCAGCCATTATTACTATATCAGAGCGCCTAGCTTTTTGGAGGGGGTCCGAAAGCTCTCTCTAAAACTCATCTTTAACCTCGTCTGAACTGCAATCAGTGGGAGCATAGGCAGATATGACGAAGAGGCAACGACGAATGTCTCTATCCTTCCGAGTCCTTACTGTCCCGTTTAGTCGGACAGCGCACAAACGACTAACTACTGGGATCCAGTGAAGGAGAGCTTATTCGGCTCTACGACTCAATGTTATGCCTACACCAGCAAGACCCCTGGAAACAGCATCAGGGCTTCCAGATACGCGAAGAGTAAATCGAGCTGCTTCTTTATTTTGACAAGGTGGAATCAGGTTAATGACTTTACTAGGATCCTGTATGCGCGTTTCCGAGACGCAGCATACATTGATGGCACGAGATTCTAAAGTCCTAGCTAATGATGCCTGCTGCCCTATTCGACACGAAGTCCGTACATTCAATGCTCCAACATGTAGACTAGAACGAGGTTTCAGGAGACCAGGAATGATGTTGCGTGAACTCACATCGTTTGCATTAGCGGTGCAGTCAGATAAGGGAATGTGAGTAGAGTTAGTTGTGGAGAGAAGAGAGGTACGTGCGGGTGTAGGAAGGATTTGATTTTGACCAATTTGATCTCGTGTGCTGCTACGGGTATGAGAGCGGTTATCACTTTCCGGCTGCCCACACCGTGGAAGGTTGTTTCTTGAGGGACATGAAAAAGAAGATAGATTAGTGTTGGTGCCTGACCACAGAGCCCAAGGGACAACTGCTTGAGGCCAGTCACGCACGCCCTTTTTGTCAAAGGTTTCTTGAGGATTAGCTCTGCTCCTAAAGGCCCTTAGTGGGCACTCTTACCGACGGAGACGGAAATCCGTGAGGTAGGGGAGGTGTGACAATTTTAGGGTCGACCTTTTCTAACCCTTCCTTCTTTGTGAGAAGGCAGCATCGCTGCAGATGCTGGTTGTCCGAGGGAAACACCTTACTGCTGTCACACCCCTCTGCAGTCAGCAGTACGACTTCGCCCTCAGACCTTGAATAGCTGCTTTTAGTCTGATCGTTCTCCAATCGACCTGCCTGTCATGGTAGAACATTCAGGAACATATGTTCCAGCCAATATAGCTCGGTTGGGTTATCACGATAGGCAAGCCCGACCACCACTTTAAGGTGGCAGCTACGGTCGGGTTATGGAGCGTAACTCCTCTTAACCCACAAGCGTCTCGGATCCACGTTTCAGGAACCTTTTCAGTTCTAGCCTTGCTCCCATTAGTACGGTATTCCTCATTGCTGTCACTTTTGGAACACAGGTCTAGAAAAACTAACCCTAGGCCTAGTTTAGAACCTTGTCATGGTGTATGCCAAGTACATCCCTGGCTTCGAGTGTAGTGAGTCACGCCTTAAATGTTGATGGCAATTGGAATTTCCGGGTCCTTGCGTTTCCTATGCGGAATTAGTTTTTACAGATTCAGCAGGTCTGACCGTAACTTCGAAGTCAGAATTCCCCTTTCCTTGGAGTAGAATTTCAGTGCACCATTTTATCCAGGATATTCCACCTCTTTGGTGTTTCCTGAAATGCCCTTCACGATATTTCAGTGTTCGTCAACCTGCATTCTTCTCCATTACTGGGACCAGAAGAGATGTTGGAATCTCTCTCTTGGTTGGAAAGTTTTCCTGACTAGGGTAGAGACATGAGTTTTTCCAATTTCATTGCAGTGGTCCACCTAGATCCAGGTCGAATTTGATTGCATTTAATCACTGGTAACAATGGAAACGAAGTAAGGATATTTCTGACAGGACGCTAGTGAGTTGACTGAGTATCCCAGTCTAGATGGCTTTCCACCTTTTTTAACTTATGGAGTTCTCTTGATGTTTCGTCGACCCCGTGTTTTTGAAAATAGCTATTAGTGTTTAACTGAGTCAGCCACCAGATACTGAATCCTAATGTATGAAGTTTAGAGGCGAAATGATAAAAAACCAGTTGCGGTTATACTGGGGGCAACTGCTTTATCTGTTATGCAGCTAGAGCGACTGAATAAGAAGCACCTCTTATTCATGGTGGACGAAAGCAGTACATGACTATACACACGTCAACCCTCCCATTCAAATCCTCCTTTTTGAGGACTCTAATTAAAGAGCCAAGCGGGCTTTCTATTAAGGGTAGGCCATGGTGGCAAAAAGTGAAACGATGCCTGTTTGAGATCAGTTTTGTACGTTTTTATCTGAGTGTTTGTGTATGTTGATAAACTTTTCTGCATATATACGCTATTTATTACTATGTCCTTTTATCCTATATATAAATTCAAGATTATTATCACCATGCTCCATCGGTATATTCCATTAGTCTTACGGATGAGAATTTCATCATTTATTATAGTGTTTTTGCTTTTCTTAGTGTAATACTTTGTTCTCTGGACTTTTACAACATAATTTTTCTCTGAAAAACAGATACGCTCGAGTCCTTTGCACTCGACTGTAAAAACGCTTGGTAAATATCTTCATGAGTCAGATGGTCAGGTTGTGTTATCACTATAGCTATTTTGCAAACATGCTGAACTTAGGACTAAGTCTGTTCTATCAGAATAAATGATCCACCGCACCTCTGTAGACCCGACATTCTATGACTACTTAATCTACAAGATCTTACGTGCAAAACACATCAATATCCTGTGATGACAGGGAGCACTGTGCGCTCCAAGACCATCAAATAACACTTCACGACTAGGGATAGAATAGTATGAAGGGAAAGAGGCTGAATAGAGTGACAACACTTGTCTGACTATGCTATGCCCTCTTAGTTGAATGAATCCACGCTCACCGTTTCTGACCTCTTTGTTACGCTTGTCACTAAGTATGCTTGAGGCTATTACGAGTTTACCTTAGTCGGTAAACGCGAACGAGACTTTTACCAGCGTCCAGGTAGGCTACCTTGAATGCCCAAATAGAGTAAAAGGCCTTGCAAGCGTAGAAAGTATATTCTACAAACACCCAGCAATCACAGTACAATAAAGCATAAAACTCTCGTTTATTTATACATCATAGAAACGTCCTTGAGACAGTTAAGAAAATACCACACTAAAATACACAGCAGTCAATCGCAGCCGTGGATTTTCCTGATGGGCATTGAAATCTCAGTGTCAACTGATCAGCCCATGCTGGCAAACATGAAAACCAAAATAAGGCATTTATCAAGCGAGTTTTGGGGATCTAACATCCTCAAAACTCTTCCAAGTATCCAACGGCCATTGTAAGTCCCTCTGGTTATTGCAGGTTCAGCTTCGTTGGTTTAGCGGTTGAGAATCAATATCACTACACACCTCACGTTTGTAATCCTTATAATTAGAGCCGTGCCCAGTACACCACTGCGTTATCAACTGCGGTTTAGAAAAATC